GAACAGGGGCAGGGGAGCCGGACGGGGGAGCCGTCCCTCTCTCCCCCCCCAGCCCCGCATTCCCAGCCCTGTGGGGCGGAAGGAGGCGATAGCAAAAACAAATATCGCATCTCTCCGAAGAAGCCACCGCCACCTCCGCTTCTCTCACATGTAAATTTGGTTCACTCAAGGAAAAGATGCGGGAAGGGTCCGGGGCTGAGAATAGCTGGTTTTTTTCGTAGGAATGCAGGAAAAGCAGCGCCCTAGCTACAGGTGACTACGGAGAGGAGCTGCTCATCCCCCCCCAGGAGAGGGTCCTTCACCTGGCAGGGCAGTGCCCGCAGCACACGGGTCACACAGCACCCGCAGCCGAGAGGTGCGGGGCTGGGGACGCGCCTGGTGCTGCTGGCCCCGACCTTGAGCAGCCCCCCGGAGTCCCCAGAGCCAGCTTCCGCACAGGCCAGCAGCGGGGGGAGCCCCGGGGCTTGGGGGGAGAGGGGTGGCCGAAGGAGCGGGGATCTGACTCTTACGTCAAGTGGAAAACGCAGATTCAGTGCAGTGGGTGCTATTTGTACTCAGTACACTTTGCACATATGAGGTTGGGGGCGGCAGGAAGGATGGAAGTCGAGAGTTCCCAATAATGTAGAAGGGAGCCCAATGCCTTTGACAGAGCCTGCCTCCAAGCAGCCTGTTTTACTGCTGCCTGTTTTCAGCTGGGTTGGTCACAGGGAAAGAAGCTTCTAGTCCCAGAGAGAAGGTGGGCGAAACAAGAGGTAATCCCTTTTGCTGCTTCATCAAAGGGAAAATCCACCCAAGGGTATTCCCTGGCATGAAGTAGGCTTACGAGTGGAATAATGGTATCTGAAATGCCCTCCTTCCACATAAGAGTCTTTAGCTGAGCATTCGTTGGCATTGGGAGGGCAAAGCTCTGCTAGAAGTAATGCTCAGAGGACACTGTGCTTTGACCAGATTGCTTTAACCCAGATCTGTCTGTATGTGGTACCCGTGATGTAAACACAAACTCCTGAAGCAACAGCAACTGTAAGAAATGAGTTTCAAAAGCTTTCTCCAGTCAAAGATTTTGAAGTTCCTAAAAAAAAAATTAAAAAATCTGCCAAAGCAGATATAATCAGTCAGTAAAACTCCTAGAAGCCAAAATTAATATTCAGTTACAGAGCTGTAAATCCAGTGGAAAGGACTCATTCATCCTGAACCAAAGCAACACTGCTCGTGCCATACCTGCTTTTCTTTGCAGAGTAGAGTTTTCTGAAAGGGCACATAGAGAAAGGGGGAATAAGACTGAAGTGAATATTCATTGTCTTCTCTCTGAACTGTGAGAGGTTTCTGGAGAAGTGAGAAATATTAAAGCTCTGCAGCATTCATCCATTATGGAAAACCATAGGGTGGCAGTAGCTGCCAAAACTCTAGACAAACTGTATCATCAGAGTACACCAGGACTTCCCTCTGAACTGTCACTGTCTGCTCAAGTCCCACCTCTCTGGTCAAGTTACAAGACAAGCACTCCCCTCCACAAAAAACAAACCAACAACAAAACAAAACACCAAGACCAAACCAACCAGACAAAAAAAAATAAAATACCAAAACACACAAACCAAACCAACAACAACAAAACCAAACACAAAGCCCCCCAAAACCCACCCCCCCCAAAAAACCTCCACAACCCACCCAACAACCAAAGAAACCTAAGACTAATATGGGTGGCATCTCATCAGCAGAAACGTTACAGTCATACCCCATAATGCCAACACCATGAAAAAGGCATGTATTGCAAGAAATCTTTTTATGTTTCAGACTTCTTAAGCATATGGCTTTTTTTATTGCATGGGGAAGAATAAGCCACAGAAATATTTTTTTCCAATTGGTGAGAAAAAAAATGGCCTCTTCCAGACTATAATAGTCCTTCAGTCATGTCAAAATGTCCATATTCCAAATCATGTCTGTTACTAAATATAATGCTATTAATTTCTCCGTGTGTCAATCTTCCTTGCATTTTCAGCATGTGGCAGATTTCTCAATGAAAGATGAAATTGTACTAGACACTGACTTTCCAGAGCCAACATTTTCTTGAATGACAATGTTCTACATAGGGAACCGTAGCAACATTTCTTAATTCATTTCCCCCCTACAAGAAACTGACCTAAATTTTTGTACTCCTCAGTTTCCAATAAGAGCTGCAGCATGAGACATACATAACAGAGAAATGAGTCTCTTGAATGAGTCTTACCATGAAATACATCTGCAAATGGGAAAAAATCCAGAACTATTTACACGTACTCAAACATATTAATGTAGAAGTTAAGTGGAAACAATTCTGTAGCTCAGGATTCGGGACTTTCTTTGAAGAATTGAGTGACACTGAACTCTGAGTTTTCCCTGCTGAGTAGATATTATGAAATAAAAACTTCTATGTTACTGTTTTAACCAACAATGCTGTAAAATTAGGTGTTAAGACTGCTATGAGAAACCAGAGCCAAATGAGCATTTTACTTACCAGCAGCAATCATTCTTCTTGCAAGCTTGAGTACTACAACATAAAGTCATTGGGTTACCAGCTGTCTTAACAATAAAAGAGTAAATGGAAGACAGGGCTTGTGGAAAAAAAAAGATTTGAGGCCAAATGCAGTGTACCCCTGTTATAGTCATGCTCTGCTTCACCTTCTGGAGGTGTTCTGTCCCTGCTGACTAGGGTGTTCTCAGAAGGTTAACCTGCCCAGCTATTGTCTGTTTTTCTGAGGAGGACATGAGAGGCAGAAGCCACCAAGGTTTTCTAGCAAAGGTCACCATTTCATGTTTTTTTATATGATGTTGTAATTGGGAAACAAACAAAAAAAACCACATCAGTTTTATAATGGAAAATTGAATTGCACTGAAGACAGTGCAACACAGCCAAAATATGATCAATTTCTATCAGTTTAGTTGGTGATTAAGTAAATGAATTAATTATTTTAAATATATACCATAATTAACATTTTATTAAGCTTCTACTTTTTCTTTCACATATTTTTCTGTTCTGCCTCCTAATTTATCATCTCTACTGTTTACAATTGTGTACTAGTTCACTGCAGACCTTGCAGAACGTGACAGCCACATTATGTTGACGTAGTTTGATGATAGGTCAGAATCACTACTCTGAACTTCCAAAAAGAAAAAAAAAATTAATAGATTAACTAAATGTCTGTGAAACACAACTCTAAGGAGCCATGGTGTAGTTAAATTGGACAAGGCTGGGAACAAAAACAGCAGAAAGTTATTCTTTTTAAATTCCAAAGAGTATTGCATTTTTAGCTAATAAAACTGAAGGACAAGGTGCTGCACCTGAAACACGGCCATCCCAAGCACAGATACAGGCTGGGCAGGAAACGCATTGAGATTGGCTGTTGAGAAGCCACACATGAGCCAGCAGTACGTGCTCACAGCCCAGAGTGCCAACAGTGTCCTGGGCTGCATCAAAAGAAGCGCGGCCAGCAGCTTGAGGGAGGTGATTTTCCCCCTCTACTCAGCTCTCATGAGACGCCACGCTGAGTACTGTGTCCAGTTGTGGAGCCCCCAATGGAAGAAGGGCGTGGAGTTGTTGGAGTAAGTCCAGGGGAGGGCCACAAAGACAATCAGAGGGCTGGAGTGCTTCTTTATGGAGACAAGTTGAGAGGGTTGGCGTTGTTCAGCCTGGAGAAGGCTCTGGGGAGACCTTATGACTGCCTTCCAGTACCTGAAGGGGTCTACAGAAAAGCTGGGGAGGGACTTTTCACAAGGGCATGTAGTGACACAACAAGTGACACAACAGTTTTAAGCTGAAAAAAAGGAAGAATTAGGTTAGATATTAGGAAGAATTTCTTTCCTTTGAGGGTGGTGAGACAGGGGTTGCCCAGGGAAGTTGTGGAGAAATGACTGGAGATGCACTCAGGAGGAGACACTACATGCCAGAGGAGGTATCGCAGAAGGGCTACAGCTGCAGGCAACTCATGTCAGGTCAGGGACATCCCTGGGGAACCACAGCCATAGATGACCCATGCCAGGGCAAGGATAACCCTGAGGAACTGCAGCCTGTGGAGGAACAACACTGGAGCAGTAACACAGAGCAGCAGTGAAGAGCAACAGAGAAGCCCTTACAAACTCTCTCTGACTTCTGTTTCCTCAGAAGAGGAGCTTGGAGGGTCTGACTGTAAGGGGTGATTGAAACAAGGGAAGCCGAGGCTAGGGAGGGGAGAAGAAAGGTGTTCCCGTATGAGTTGTGTTTTTTTATTGTTTATGCTTTCTTTTTCTTGATACCCAAATACATGTTTAGAAGTTTGTGTTAATTGACAATAAATTAAGTCCCAACTTCAGACTGTTTTGCCCATAACACTGCAAGAACACACCTATTATGAGCAGAGCCATTCCATTCAATCATCTCCTCTAAACAGCCTCATAAGCTCTCAGACCTGGCTTACCTCTTTCAGGGGGCAATCCCTTAGAAACTGTTACCCTTCACTTTTGATTCCAAAGTGGGCACTGTTCCTCTAAATCATGAGTAGATACCACATGCCCTTTGCCCAGATGTCCACCACTCCAGAATCTCACAGCCACTGCCTTTTTCATTCATTATGGGGTGCCCTTTGGCTCCCCTGATTTCTAAAGCCAGAGGTATTAGTGATGCAAGATGGTGGAAAGAATGATTACTCACCTGCTTCTGCAGTAAGTAGTTTTGCCTGTGCTGATTCATATTTGTGGGATACACATTTTCTCAAAAGAGATACGATATTACATTCTGCTTATAGAAGGAGGAGGCATTGCCTCAGGCTCTGTCCACACTTCCTTTCTTCTTTTTTTGGTGTCCAATACTGAAATCTTGGGAATTAATTTTTGATCTATCCTGAAAATTTGCTTCAATTTCAGTTAAAGGTCAATGAGTGTCTTTTTCATACATAAGTTGCCAGCCTATGATGCCCCTTCTGAGGCATGTCACCTGCCAGCAAGATAATGGCTCTGTAAAGAAAACTAGTTAAACAGTGAGAAGAGTACTGAGCTCCTTAACACGTGTTCACTTTTTCATTCAAGTAGAATGTAAATACACATAGAGAGTCCTGAGGGACAGGGAAATGAATGCAGTACCTCCAAATGAGTTACAGCTCTTGGGTACAAACTTCCATCATTACAAAGGGGCAAATCTTTGCATTAGTGATCAGAAAGAACAGATAGATCGAAAAAAATGTGGAAATGCCCAGGCTATGTATCTTCCCTTAGAGCATGGGTATGTGAGCCAGCAGAGACTAGGTAGCCTCCACTGAGCTTGCTTCTGCTTCCTGGCACAGGAACACAAGCTTCATGAAAATTTTGGGAAATGTTATTCCCAACATTTATGGAGTTTTCTATTCTTTGTCTATCTCAATGGATACATCAATAAGAAAACTTTATGTTGGCATAATGAGGGCCTCATCTTACGAGTCTTAAGCACTCCCATTATATAAATAAAGAATTATGACATGGAAGATACAGGACAAATAACTTTCTTCAGTTACAGAAGAGCTTGCCCTGGAAAAACTTTATCTGTCTAAACAGAAGAGGTGCCTTATTATCTATCTTTGCTGTTTCTTCAGAAAAATATAAAAAAAGGAAACCACAACAAAAAACATACAACAAAAAACTCCAGATCTATAAAATAGTTCTCTCTGAAAAATCTGTCATTTTCTTTTTGCTGGCAAAGACTACTAAAAATCAGACAATATATAGGGGCACTGTACAAGTACCACTAACAACCTTACAAAGAAACTGTTAACAATTATTAGTTTCTAAGTCTCTGAACTGATCCCATTGAGTTGGATAAAATTTTACACCAGGGGGGGAAGAAAAAAAGAGACCTTTACATTTTATGTTGGTAAATTTTATCATCTGTCACCCAGCACACTATCTACTACCTCAATCAATATTCAAATTGGTCTGCTACAGCTTGTCTACATTTTTAAAAGAGAAAGCCCACTTACTAAAATTTTCTAGGAGATGTTTTCTCACTTAACAATATCTTTTACTGATCTTCTCCTAAAATCACCTCAAATCTGATATATAACCCATATACAATGGTGATTTATCTGAGAAAGTCAGCAAACTCTTCTGTCACATGCCATCTAAATCAATGAAAACATACTAAAAGGACCACAAGGGTTTCCATATGATTCTGCCATTGTTCTACCTAGTTTCTGTGCTTCACTGCAGTTTAACTGGAAACCTACCTCATCTATAATTTTATTCCTCTCTGTGACTAACAAACTCCATTATTTTCATTATTTTTTACTAAGATACAATAATAAATCTACCCCAAGAAGGCAAGAGATATGTTTTAAGAGGTTATCTTCTGAAGATGCTTGCATTGATGATCTTCTGAGCATCCCTCAAAGACATTTAATTTATCCCTCTATCATTTTGCAGAAGAGATTTTACAATACTAGTTTATTCTCTAATATTGATTCAAAGTTTAATTATTATAATATTTTGTAATGTTTTTTTCTTCCCACTGTGAGTAGTTATAGTTTACCTGTCAGAATCAAAACCCCTGGAGTGCAAGTGGCAGAAGTCTCATGCAGAGTCTCGCTGACTGAGGCAGGCAGATTTTAAATCAGATGCCTTAGCTAGGTGGGAAGCAGAGAGGTTTCTTCATAGTGTCTGCAGCCTCCTATAGCAGACCCAATCTCAGTGTACGCAAGCTTGATTAATTTTGACTACCTCCATTCAGCTGCAGTGAAGTTTTTCTCTCCTAATTTTTTTCATGCTACTTTGCAGACAAGATTGCCCAAATCTGAACTGAGCTGTCTACTGCCATGGAAACAGAAAAGTATTCTCAAGAGATAAACATCGCATCTCCCCTGCTTGTGCTTCAATTTTGCTCACTAAAGTCAGAGGTGCTGGCAGAGATTTCTGCTACAATGTAAACTGGCCCATTACTACACCTGGTAGGGGAGAACCGACTGGGAAACCAGATCCTTTGCAGGTAGCATGGTCATCACATCCTACTTGGAGGCAAGGTGAGACTTAAAGAACTATGCAAGGTCCCGGTCAGGTAGAGAAGTCTTGGCAGAATCAGCCTGGCTAACTCTCAGTTAGTAGCCCATCTCAATATAAGGAAAATAAAATAAGGATGTAAACCTGCAAGCTGATTTCTTAAGTTTCCACATGTTTTTAAAGAAGTCAGTTTACATACTTAAGTGCAGAGTGAAACCATATTGGTCACACAGACCATGCCATGTCCATGCTAATCTTTTAAACATTTCAGCGATGTTTGATACCCTTGAGAGCTTTTCCCAGTACCCTCCTAACTTTTGCTAGTCAGTTTAGCTATGCTTGTTTCCCTAAGCTTTTACATACTCAACAAGAGGAACACACAAGCCTCTAAAGGTCTGGAAGACCTTGCTTTTTCTACAGAATAAGCAGACAGCCTAAAACTGTAGCAGCACAACAGAGGTGCCTAAGCAGCTGCCTAAACTTAAGCAGCACACTCATGCCAATGATTAATCAAGACTTTGTCACATCCACCCAT